TTGTGTAATGTAGTTGTAGTTGTTGTGTAGTGTAGTTGTAGTTGTAGTTGTTGTTGTTTTTTTAGTTGTTGTTGTTGCTGTTGTTGTAGTTGTAGTTGTTGTTGTTGTTGTCGTCGAAGTTAGGGTAGTTAAGTTAGTGAAGTTAGTTAAGTTAGTCAAGTTAGCTAAGTTAATCACTATCTATCTACTTTTTCGACATCTTAATGTCAAAAAAGGCTCAAAACCCTCAGTTTTTGACACTTTTGACTTGGAAATGTGCTTCGCGCCACAGCAGCGTGCACTTTTTCGACATCGCAACTTCCAAAAGTGGTCCGAGCATGGTGTGCTTTGTACATTTTGACTTGGAAATGTGCTTCGCGCCACAACGGCGTGCACTTTTTCGACATCGCAACTTCCAAAAGTGGTCCGAACCCTGGTGTTTTGTACATTTTGACTTGGAAATGTGCTTCGCGCCAGAACGGCGTGCACTTTTTCGACATCGCAACTTCCAAAAGTGGTCCGAGCATGGTGTGTTTTGTACATTTTGACTTGGAAATGTGCTTCGCGCCACAACGGCGTGCACTTTTTCGACATCGCAACTTCCAAAAGTGGTCCGACGCTGGTGCGCTTTGTACATTTTGACTTGGAAATGTGCTTCGCGCCACAGCAGCGTGCACTTTTTCGACATCGCAACTTCCAAAAGTGGTCCGAGCATGGTGTGTTTTGTACATTTTGACTTGGAAATTAATGTGCTTCGCGCCACAACGGCGTGCAATTGTTCATCTCTCATCTGGCCAGCTCGCTCCGCACCCGCCGCTTTAGCGAGCCTACTTTTGGACCCTCCGGAGCCACAAATCATTGGAAAAACGCAGTGTTTCGCGACGTTCCTACCTTTTCGCGCACCTGCATCTTCTTTCTTCTGATCTTTTCTCTTCTGACTCTTCTCACCTCTGCTTTTCAACTGTCCATATTGTCGGAAGTTTCACTTCTAAACTTCCTTCGATAAGTGGAAAAAGCATGTAATTGTATAGGTAATATGAGAAAAAGCATGCAGGTAGTGCATAAGTAGTACCGAGGTATTTTGTAGGAAGTATACGGCTCGCAAATGCTGCACATAGGTTGCAAGTGGAAGGTTGTGGCTCTCAAATGCTGCAAATAGCATGCAAATGGGAGGCCGTCACTCTGAAATGCTGCCATGCTGCAAATAGCATGCACGGGGGAGATTTTTAGGGAAAGGACGCGGTACCATACCATTTGGGGGGGGTTGCCGTACAAGGGTAAAACATGTACTATGTGGCGCGCGCAGTTTTCCTTGTAAAAATTCTAAATTTGAATAACGTGAATTTAGAATTCAGTCGTAAAATTCTAATGTTTTCCAAGCTCAAAATTTAGAATTGTTAGAATTCAAATCTAAAATTCTAAAAGTTCGAAATTTTTCCGAGCCTCAATTTAGAATTTTTAGAATTCAAAGCTGGGTTTGGGGAAGTTGAATGAATTCTAATTTAGATTTTTTTAGAATTCAGTTCTAAACACACTGAAACTTAGAATGCGATTTTGGAAACGGCGTGCTGCAAAAAAGGCCCTGCTAATTGCAAAAAAGTGGCAGGAGGGACTTTTTTTGGTTCCGTTTTGTCAGTCGGGCCATCTTAGCAATGGAGATCTTAGAATGCGTGGCCACTGAATTATTTATCATATAATTGTCCTTCTATCATGGTTTTGAATGGGAATTGTCAGGTCGCCGCGTTTCTTGAATATAAACTTAGAATGCCGGCATCTATCTTGTGATTTTCATCAACAACGGATGTTATTTTTCAAGTTTTACCTACATTTGGAAACATTTTGTATTTTTTGGGGGTGCTGGTTCTTAGTCAGGTTTCATCGATCTATTGAAATATGACCACACCTAAGTTTAGACCTGAATGCAAAAAACTAGTCTTAAAGAACGCAATTTAACTTAAGAAGTAGTAGTTCAGCTTTGCCAAATAAATGTAGGTTTGATTTTAAACTAGACGACTGATGGCCCGAGAGCGTAGAGGAGCAGAGTCTTCTGTCGTTAGTATGGAAACACTATATTGGAAGACAATATATTAAAGATGTATAATAGGCAGACGAGAAGAGTAGTATCAAGACAATATATCACAAACACAAGACAATAGTTTTGCATCGGATCTTTCGTATAGTTTCTTCACACACAGAACTTTTCAGAGACAGACGTTTTTGCACACAGAGACTTTTACACAGAGAGGCTTTTACACACAGAAGCTTTTACACACAGAAGCTTTTACACACAGACGCTTGTACACAGACGCTTTTACACACAGAAGCTTTTACACATACAAGCTTTTACACACAGAAGCTGTTACACACAGACGCTTTTACACACAGACGCTTTTACACACAGAATCAGAAGCTTTTACACACAGACGCTTGTACACACAGATGCTTTTACACACAGACGCTTTTACACACAGATGCTTTACTTGCTTTTACACACTTCGCCGGACAACTTGGAAATCGCAATTTTACCTCAGTTTTTGGCGATCGAAGCTCATTTCGTGCGAAAGGGTTGCGCGGGACAACTTGCAATCGCAATTTTACCCTAGTTTTTGGCGATCGAAGCTCATTTCGTGCGAAAGGGTTGCGCGGGACAACTTGCAATCGCAATTTTACCCTAGTTTTTGGCGACCGATCCTCATTTCGTGCGAAAGGGTTGCGCCGGACACTTTGAAATCGCAATTTTACTTCAGTTTTTGGCGATCGAACTCGGTTGGGAGAAAACTCCAAAACCTTTATAACTTGTCATCCACGCGCGGAGCTGGTGGCAATTGGTTGTTGTGGACGCCCGATCCAGAGTTTGTCTTTCATTCAGTGGAACATCTGGAACTACAAGGAGTGACAAGGGCAACAAAGTTCTTGTTGATCGATTGGCATCAAGTTTTCAATCGAAGCCGAACAGGCGACGCTCATTATTTCGGTCGTGCTCCGCGGAAGTGTGCTGATGCCGTCGTGAGGACGGTTCAGTTGGGAGAGGCCTTGAACAAGTCATTGTTCGTCGCAATTCTTGCTTACGTCGACACAGATCGGAGGGTGAAAGAAGTCATTGATTTCTTGAACGCATCGGATTGCAGTTTCTCATTTGTCTTGATTACAAGACGTGATCGTGGGAACGAGGGCAAAGCTAGTGTGCTACGGGATTTCATTCGGCAATTGAATGGATCACAAGCAGGTTCTTTTTATCGATGATAAAGCTCGGTACCTTGAAGAGTGCAGATCCTTCTCTTTGAATATTCAGACGCATCACGTGAAACTGAAACGGAAACCATTTTCTCCAGGTCATCGTTCTGTGGGTTACTTTGAGGGCTCATTTGAGACCATTGAAGAGTGGTTACGTTCGGATTGTGTTGTGTGAAGTGAAGGGAAAAAGGGGGTCATCCCTTGCAGGGTGGGACCTGGGAGAATCTGTGCGTTTCCCAGCCAACTGAGCAATGGCGAAGCTAAATGAATCACCGTCAGGCTCTAGTGAGGTAAGATCTAGATCGGATAGGGGAGCCATCGTGCCTGCATCCCCAGTGAGGGCGGAACAAGGAAGCTCTACCGTGTTAATTTCAAGTTCTTCACCAGAAACTAGGGCCATGACCCAGAGACCAAGAGCACTCAGTCCCGTTCAGAGTCCAGCTGAAACCCTATCCAATTTCCTTCAGGGAGTTGGTGCTCCAACAAATGAAATGTCTAACCAATATCCTTCGGGGGCTGTGCCAGATGCATCGCAACCTCAAACACATCAGACTTTTGTGCAGAATACTCATCAAACTAGGAATGGATCCTCTTGGTTTAGCACAGGCGAATGAAGCCATAATGAGAACTAGGAGTGAGGTCCAGGTGGAAGCATTCCAATATATTGAGCAAGTTCGGAATGATTTGCGGAGCGAAGCAATCCAGTTTTCCCAGCAGGTTGCATCACAAGCTTCCATGGAATCCCAAGTCCTAGTAGCTGAGACCCAAATGCATGCTTCGCAACTGGTTGATTCAGCTAGGCTAGAAGTAGAAGGGATTCGAAATCAAGCTATAGGAAGAGGTTGCCCGTGCCCATTCAAGAACTTGAACGCACTCAATTGGAGCTGATGAATGTGAGAAAGGAAGCACAGATTCATATTTCAACATTAAAAGGGAAGATTTCAGAGCTGGTCCATATGAATTCGATGTTGGGCAAGAAGGTTGAAGAACAATCATGCTTGGTGGAGACACGGTTGAAGCGGGTCGATGATCAATGTGTTGTAATTTCTTCCTTAAGGATGTCATTGAACACCACAGTCATAGACTCAAATGGCGCCGGTGTAGGAGTAGGTGACCCACCACAAGCCAGTGAAGGTCCACCGGTTTTCTCCATAGCCACCCCTCAAGAGGGTTTGTCCAGTGCATCCGCCGCCGGTCCAAATCGTTTGCTGCTGCCACATTCCACCAGTGTGATTCCGAATCAGGATCTGCATTCTGCAGCGGCCAGCGCGTTGCCATTAGGCACCGCTGGAGGGGCACGGGGTAATGGGCATGATTCACAGTCAGGAATGCCTCAATCTAGGAAAGATCTAGAAACGTTGGTTAAGCAGCTCATGACGGGACACCTGAGTAGTAACAGAGCAATACCAGCAACTGCTGTTCATTCAGCCAAGCATTCTCCATTGCTCAATGCAAGACGGGGGCGAAGAAGAAATACAGGCGATTTGAGCGATATCAGTTGGCTGTCATCAAGACCGTTTCAATGGACTCGCAAGACCTGCCAGCCTGGGTTGGGGTAAAACATATATTCCAGCAACCGGGTTTGGCTCAAGTGTCGGACGAAAAGAGTGCTCGCACTGCTGCATTGCCATTTGCGTTGCGGCGTTGTGTTCTCTTGTACATGCTTGTGTTGACATATCTTGCATGCTCACATTAAATTCACGTTTGGGCAAAGAATGCCGGAGGCGAAAACTTACAGTTTTTGTCCCTGTTGCGTTTTTTTTGCCATGGTGCATTCTGACGGTAAGGAGATGGTACTTTGATGCGGAGACAGCACAGATCCGAAGCGAATATGATCACCGGTGTTTGGATGTGAATATGGGCGGCAGTGCTAATGTTTACATCCATCCCTGCCATGATGGCGACAATCAAAAGTTTGTACCTTGATCTGATTCCTGTGCGGTGCGTCTCGTATTGAAAGCCCCCAAGTCAAGGCCACTTTTTGATTTGTTACGGGATGGTTTTTGGTGATGAATTATTTTTTTCCGTTTTGGGCATTTTTGGGGGATTTCTGTTTCCCTGCTTCTTTGCATTCTGCTTCTCTGCTTTTTCCCCACCTGCTGCAGGTGAGGGTTGTTAGACCTTATCATAGCTGTTCTTCCGCCTCCTCCTCCTCCTCCTCCGCCTCCTCCTCTTCCTCCTCCTCCAGTTTCTCCTCGACCATGTCTGCATCAACTTCCACGTCCACTTCCGCCTTGCCAACTCTTCGCCAATCTCTTCGCCAACTTCTGCGCGCAGTGGGCACTGCTGGACCTCAACTGCCGGCTTCGATCTGAGTGGGCACGGCTGGACCTCAACCGCAAGGTTCTGAGCGCAGTGGGCACCGCTGGACCAACCTGGGACCTTCCGAGCTCAGTGAGCACCGCTGGACCTCAACCTGGGACCTTCCGAGCTCAGTGGGCACCGCTGGACCTCAACCTGGGACCTTCCGAGCTCAGTGGGCACCGCTGGACCTCA